CCCACCCCCCCTCACGCAGCAGGAGGAGAGGGTGAGCCTCCTGTCAGACATCAGGAACCCCACCCACGGCTGGCTGCGTCCTCTACAGAAGAGCGGTGGCATGAGGATTCCCGTGTGGGATGGGGGGGGGGTGGGCACAGTATTAAAGAGGGACGTAATCTATCTGAGCTCAGGGAGCAACCCGGCAGCGCAGAGGAGGGGGTCATTACCAAAAACGGCCTCGATATTAAACACCTCCCAGGACATTACACCCAATAGAAGGCTAGCACAAAAAATAGCAATAAAAAACCATTTGATTTGTGTTATCGCCCTCCCGCAGACATCACACGCACATTAATACCATGAGGGGGCTAAAAGCACGCTGCGCTAATCTTTTCTTTTTTTTTTTTTTAGGTTTATTGTTTTGCAAGGTTTTGTTTTGAATGCAGAGCTCACCAGACACTCACCCAAATCCATTCAACAGAGGGACTCCGACAGGAAGCTCATCGTAGCCAATCAGAAGTCACCTGGCCTCTTCCATCCATAGGTCACTTCATACCTGCAACAGAAGAGGGGAGGGGCACATCATGAGAAATCATTATATATGACTGGCAGCCTGCTACATTCTGCTTTAACACCAGCATCACTGCCACCTCCCCCAGTAATTAATGCTCAGAGTTTCACAAGTTTCATAGAAACTCAGACACAGAGGCTGACATTTGAAGCTGGTATTTCAAACTTTTATTTGCTATAATGATACATCTGTTAATAAATATTCTGTGTGCACATTTCCCTAACCTTTCACGCCTCCCAAAAGGATCTCCTTCCTTGAGATCTACCGTGACAGATTTGGGGAACAAGCTCTGCAACTAGTGGCTGACACAGCAAAGGTCTGGGCAGACTGGGGTGAGACGAGGGATTCTACCTTGACAATAGGTGGCACAGAGGTCCTGCTGGGCCCCGTGCACATATACACACACACACACACACGTGTGCATGAGTGCATTCGTGCACGTGTGTGTGTGTGTGTGTGTGTGTGTGTGTCTAAGAAAGACTGTGCACGCGTAAATCTGGCCATCAGACGTGGCATTCAGTAGTGTGGGTGTAACAGATGATCTAGGGCTGTTGCTAGGAGACACAGGGAATTTCCTTCCCGGAGGCAGCTCCCGCACACTTCAGCGTCATCGTGTCCCACCCCAACGGCAAACAAACCGCATAAAGAACAGCCTCCTCTCGTGACAAACCCTAAAACCAGGCGCTTTGTCGCCTTTGCTGTCGGCTTATTTTGATGCTTTAAAGATCACAGTGGCTGCGGTCTTCTCTCATGCATGCATTAGAAATGCGGCATTAGAAATGAGAGCCACTGGCCGTGATGCCTGGCATTGCACGGGCTCTCAGTCCATCCAAAACCACATGCGTCTTCAACTTCTGCCTATAAGGGCGGTTTTCCACCGCACCAAGTACAGTACTTCGGCACTTTCCCTTTTCCACTGACTTCCAGTCGAGTTCCAGTACCAAAAGTTCCAGTACCGAAAGTGCCAAACCAGCTGGAGCACTACTTTGGTACGGGAAACGTTTTCTTTGTCGATTGGTTATGCAAATAGCCTGCCTCTGAAACACAATACAAACGTCGTTTGAAAACAGTTTAGAAATTAGAAAATGATACCGAAAGTTTAAAAAAAAAAAAAAATTCATAAAAATATGGTGTGGTCGTTAGAACATACAACAAAAAAGATTCGGATGGTATAGCAAGAAATTAAAAAGTATTTTGTTGAATATGCCAATACAGCAGGCATATAGCGAGCAGTCCTAGCGGTGCGATTTTGTAGTAATAAATATTGGGGTATTTATAAAACAAAAAAAGGAGTTAATACATTTCTCACAAACCAGTCAGTGATTTAAACTGCAAGGATGAAAATGATTATGATCATCTCAGAAAAAGCATGCAATGCTCATGCAAAAGCAGCGGAGGTAAACTTTAAACTGATTTTTCAACATATATTAGATAACCTATAAAAAAAATTATTAAAATTGCAAAGCTTGCAAAGTTTGTTTTCCGTATGAGTGTAACAGAGTAAAATATTTCAGGGAAACTTTAACCCCCTGCGCTATGATGTCCATACAGAATTGAAAGTAAGAAAAAAAGCCTTATTTTAATATAGGTGACTAGCGATGCAAGAATTGTATGTGCATAAAATGTGATGTTGGAATATCGCACATCGCCAAGTTGCATAATAGTCATTTTTCGATTTCAGTACAAAATACCCCACCTCCAGTTGTGATGTCATTCGGTGCTGGTACCAGTTTTTACGCCGGTGGAAATCCAACACCATGAAGTTCCGTACTTTTTGGTACTTTGAGAAAGTATGGTGGAAAGACGCCCTGATAGGGGGGTGGGCATGTCTGGGAGGGACACCATGTGGAGCAAGAAATTGCATCTAGGATATTTTTTTACAAAACATTCCTACTAGTAAAAAAAAAAAAAAAACTAATAGAACCGAGAAGAATGAGGCAGAAGCGGGACCCGAGCCGGCGACAGGAGCGCCAGTTACTGAGCCGGCGGCAGGAGCGCCAGTTACCGAGCCGGCGGCAGGAGCGCCAGTTACCGAGCCGGCGACAGGAGCGCCAGTTACCGAGCCGGCGACAGGAGCGCCAGTTACCGAGCCGGCGACAGGAGCGCCAGTTACCGAGCCAGTTACCATGTACTGCACTTAAACTGCCGTAATTATGGGTTACACTGGCGAAAACCCAAGGGCCTGAATAGAACTCCACCCATCAAATTTATGATGTGGGCACAGAATTTGCATTATATACATTATTTAGTGGGACATTTGATCCTACAGTAAGCCATCATTTATATTTATTCGTTTAATTTAATTTCCATTTCCGTCTAACACATATTCATGCAAACAGCGCTGATGTTCATAATACGCAGTACATAACTTTATGCAACTGTAACTACGCACTGTGTAACACTGCTACAACACCCTTCAGAGGTAGTGTAACACTCTCCCAGGGGGCATGGCTACGGATTGTCTGCTAACCCATGGTTTCCCCACCCACAAAACATACCTAGGGCCCGGAATATCAGTATATATTCAAAATGAGATACAGGATGACAATACTGTTTATATCAATATACTTTTATTGTGTGTTAAAATTACGGTTACATTTTTTTATATTCTTCCTGGTTGTGAACAATGCCAGAGCTTTGTTATGATGTTGCACAGACTCCCAGAATTCACAGCTAGGATCAAACCGTTCAGTCAGCGTTTCACGGCCAGCAATGGGAACGCCGCCTTAGAACTGAGCTGTATCTTATGGTTTGTGGCTTCATTCCTTATAGGTTTGTTTTTCCTTAGGGGGAGGGGGGCTATGACAGTTATCTGTGAAATAATTACTAGGACAATAAAGTAACATTTCAATCAGATTCAGAAACCCTTTTATTGGCCCAATAAAAAAAAATAAGGATACTGAACTTTTGTGCAAAACAGATTTTAGTGCAAATCAGACAGAAACTTTGAATTGTTTGTTCATAAACAGTTACCCACAAATCCTGCTCATTCTACCTTTAAGTAACCTAACATGACGACATCTAGCTCTTGTGGCTGGCTGGTTCTCACTGTTCACGTAAAGGGGATTGGAGTGGATTTAGGTCTAGAAGTGAAATTCGGGTACAATAAAAACAGGGCTCTCAAAACAACTCTGCTCCCTTCTTTTGAACCCAAGAGCCATCCAGACGAACTGGATTATTGTGGAACATCACATCACTACTTACAGGGTGGCTGATAAAGGTGAAGAATAACTGGTAATTGTTTTATTTCATTTTAAAACACTGCCGAATGGCTCACAGGCTAAAAATATCGTAGCAATATCCTCCTGAGACCCAAGGAAAAAAGTGTCCTTCAATTTTTGGTTATTTGTCTTTGGAGGAAATGACATCTTACAATTTATTATTTTTATTTTTAATTTCACAACATGTCCTCTTTAGTGTACAACAGGAATAAATACGTTTCCTTACATCAGTGAAAAGATAGATGCAAAAACAAAATGTCCACTACAATGGACATAAATGAATGGGTGGGGTCTCAGGAGGAGATCGTTAAAGGGACTGGTTTGCATTTACAGTTGGAAGACACTGCCTTTCATTTTCCCAAATATTTAATAGACCGTCAACAGCTTCTAAAAGGGATGTTTAAATAAAAATAAAAAAATAAAAAATAAAAAAAAGACTAAACGAGTTCATTTGCAATACTGACGAAGTTTTCACTTCATCTATCAACTACAGAGTTAAACATACATAAAAGGGTATTAAGAGCTCAATGAAACCTGAAGCAGGAGCGATGTGTCACATATGGATGGTATTCTATACACATACAGATGACGGCACACTTCTGTGGAACAGCAATATTATGCTTTATATTTACTTGTGTTGTCACAAGGTGATTACAGTTTACATTTTAATCTGGGCTCATTCCATATAGAAACAGACTTAATGCATTAATTGGCATTTTTAAAAAGTGCCCCCATAATTTTGTGAATGCCCCCCATTTTTAGACTGGGTGGGGGGGCAACTTTTGCCCCCAAATATTTTTTAAAATTTCATACACTGGATAGTGATCAAAGGTAAAGCAGCGTGGGTAAAGTATTCTTTTAATTTCCGAAACAAAATACCACGCAGACTGCATAGGCAGACAGATTTAATTTTGCAGTGTTTCATCAGGGCAGGAGGCATCTGCCGGCACATCTGCAGGTGGCTTGATTTTTACTGTATTACTGCCGAAATGCACTTTACTGCTGACATTATTCATCAGAGCTGATCACAGTTGGTAAACATAATTAATGGAATAATACTGAAAAAAGGAAAAGGCCAATATCATATTGTTCATATATTTATCAGTGTACAGGATCCTTCTGGATCTCGGAAACAAGTTACTAAACGGAGAATCCCAAACTGCTGTGGTGAAAATGGGCAACTCTGAAGTCAGGAACAAAGCATGTTGTCAAGGAACCAAACTTACGCTGCCAGACCGGGAGGCTGCACACACGTGTGCATGAGAGCGCCGGGTGTTCACTGCCGGCAAGTTTAAAAACGGAAATCTCGTGACAGATTTTGTGATAAAGACGGGTTTCCTTGCTATTCACTGCAGACACCCTGAAATTCATCATTCTGTTCTTTCCCTCTAAAGATGCATAGAATGCTCCGATTTTCATTACATATTAGTGCCATTTGCCCTTTGTCCTCATTAACAGTGATTAAATCCATGGAACACATCGAACAACAAGGAGCTTAAAGAAATCATTTTCCAAGTGCCATCAGGGTCTTTTGCTTACAGGGCAATTAAAACGCCTCGCTGTAACCACACAGCCCACTGTGGGAGGCCAATCCGATGACAGACAGGCTGTAAAATGTCACTTAAATTTGTAAGAGGTTTTTAAAAATGCAATATTTAATTAGGCTTAACGTTTCCTGAGGCAAATTTTGATTTATCGCTGTTCCTGAGAGAGCAACTTGTCAGCGTGAAACTTTGCGAAATAAAAATGATCGCTATAATGGTT